TGTGACACTGAAGACTGGAGGAATGATGCTGAAAATACAGATCACGGGATTTAATTACATTTTAAATCACGTAGAAAACAGCTATTTGAAATTGTAATAATTTTTCAAATTTTTACTGTAATTTGGTCAAATAAATGCAGCCTTGTTGACCAGAAGAGACTTCTATCACACACATTAAAAATCTGTGTATACCCTTTCAGTCGTAGCTTACTCTGCCCTCACAAACACACACACAATCAGAACGGTTGATTGTAGTGTAGGGATGTAGTGTATCAGCATGCTCCTCCTTATCTTCTTGCCTCCCTGGATGCTGTGTATCATAGTGCCTTAAGATTTATTACAGATTGTAAATTTTCCACACATCACTGTGTATTATATAATAGAGTTGCCTGGTCTTCTCTTGCAGTTTGAAGGGAAATGAATTGGTAACTATTGATTTACAAAGCAACTTTTTTTGCCATTTATCTCTGTTGTTTGACTCAACAAAAAGTAGTTGGTAACTATTCATTGTGTTCCCAGTCTTATTATAATCTATATGTACCTTTAGCTACAACTAATTTAGGTAAAACTGCTTTTGAATATGCTGCACCTTCAGATTGGAACTCTCTCCAAATGAAACTGCAGCTAAATCAATTGGTGTCTTTCAGTAATTTTAAAACACTTATGCGCGCAATAGAAAATGATTTAATGATTTGTAAATGCTTCTAATGCTGTGCTTTTATTGATGGGTTATTGTGGTGATGTATTGTTGTTTGTTATATGTGTATTTGTATAACTGGGCCACCTATCTTGGCCAGGACTCTACTGTAAAATAAATTTTTAATCTCAGTGAGGTTCTTTCCTGGTTAAATAAAGGCTTAAGAAACAAGAAGATAAATCTCTCTCACTTTAAAAAAACAAACAAACTCAGGGTAAAGGAACAGCAGCTGCAACCTTCCTTGTAGTGAGTACTGTCTTTCAATCCCATTTTCGGTATAAAAAAATGATCTGACTCACACAAGGCGTAGGGTTAGTTACAACTTGGGACACCAGTTGTTACTTGGCACATGAGAACTTGCCTATATCTGCATCTCCACATCTAGTAACACAGGTCAGTGGTTGTGGCGCTTTCCATAGGGACCCCATATGTCAGTATTGATGTAACGGTGAATGTGACTGACTGAAAGGGAATGTCTCGGTTGCGTATGTAATCCTCGTTCCCTGAAGGACGGAATGAAGACGTTACGTCCCTCCTGTCACAACCCTGCACTACACTGCTGAACGACCAGGACATGGTCTCAGCACAAACCTGAATGCAAATTCCACTCGCCAATGTTCATTAGCCTTTTTGTACCACTCAGAGGAGGTTAGGTATCAGTATCGACGTAATGTCTCTGTTCCCTCCCTCCAGGGAACACGGGTTATATATGTAACTGAGACATTTTTAAGGCTGTTGTCCTGCTCCTCTGTAACTTGTATTCTTGGAGTGTTTGTCTGAGACTGACATCTAGTTGACATTTTATTACCAGGGTTCCTCGTTCCTGGTCCTGGAGAGTCACTTTCACACAGAGTTTAGTTTGATCTCTAATGGTATTTAAAACTAGCGATCAAGTTAATACTCAGTGTAGTGATCCAGTAATCTGTTTGTTTTCTGAAAGTCGCAGATTAATTACATAAAACACAGAAACACTTTCAATTTGAAGCTCTACATCTGTGTCAGTTTCACATTTATAATACTTACACTTGTAGTGTGAAACAGGCCGTACTATTCATATGAATTCATGTACAATGATTGTAACGGATCATCAATTCTAGACTTTGAACCTACAGTCATTAGTTATCAGTTCCACTTTTACTGGATTCATCTGCTCACATGATGATTTAGTGCCAGTAGTTTTCTGTGAGATTCACTATCATCCGTTTGTCCTGCAGAAGCAGCTGAAGGAGACGCAGGAGATGTTCCAGCAGAGAATCCAGCAGAGAGAGAAAGATCTTCAGCAGCTGAGAGAGGCTGTGGAGTCTCATAAGGTGAGTCTGGAGAAGAAGAGAAGTTTGTCTCACTCTCAGTTCAGACTCACTGAAGCCTGAATCACTGTGTGTCCTAACAGCGCTCTGCACAGACAGCAGTGGAGGACAGTGAGAGGATCTTTACTGAGCTCATCCGCTCCATTGAGAGAAGCCGCTCTGAGCTGATACGGCTGATCAGAGATCAGGAGAAGACTGCAGTGAGTCGAGCTGAAGAACGACTGGAGCGACTGGAGCAGGAGATCAATGATCTGAGGAGGAGAGACGCTGAGCTGGAGCAGCTTTCACACACACAGGATCACATCCAGTTCCTGCAGGTAACAGAGATCTAGAAGAACAGGATCATAGTGGACTTGAGTCAGATCCTGCTGTGACAGAGACTCACAGAGAAACATTTCATGAGTGTCTTATTATATAATCATCAGTCAGACTCTTAAACTGATCATCTTTTTTTGAAAGAGCCGCCACTTACAAATGAGCTCTTAATCTCTTAGGAATCTTTTCTCTGAGCTCTTTCTTCTGGGAGATATACAGTATTTAGCTGTTAAACACCACTAGCGCCGTCAACAGTTGAAAACTTCACTAACATTTAATTTTTTTACCAATTTTTTCCTCTGATTCGTTTTGTCTCTCAGCCCAAATTTACATTATATTCAGTATCCATATTGTAGTTTAACAGTAGTCTTCATTAAAGCTCTAGTCTAGAAATGTTTATTTTGCCCTGTGTGCTGAATACGGATATATAAACAATATGTTTGATCATTTGCACAGCCGCATCTCTCTTGCTCATTTCAGAAACAGGTTGAAAAGGATGTGTAGGTGGTCAATGAATGATTAGGAGAGATTACTTGGAAACATTACATTTTATTGCCCTGTCCATCACTCAAATTGCTCTCTGTGTGGAGCTGAGTTTTGTGTTTTCTGTAGAGTTTCCAGTCTCTCTCAGCTCCTCCTGAATCTACAGACGTAAATGATGATCTCTTCAGTTCTCTCTACTCTTCTGATGCTCTGAGAGAATCTGTCCATCAGCTGAGAGACAAATTGGAGGATTTCTGCAAAGAGGAGCTCAAGAAGATCTCAGACAGAGGTAAAGTCCTGGAGATTCATCTGCTCTCAGAAACCAGTCCATCATCTCATATCATGGAGAACATCATATTAGAAATGTCTTAGGAATGGATGCAGGATCATGAGAATCACACTGTTCATGTCTGTTGACTTCCACAGTCACATTCACCAACATTGATCTCTGGACCAGGAACAACTTCCTACAATGTAAGTCAGTAAGAAAACAAGCAGAAAAACTCACTGAGTGTGTTCATGTTCTTCCTGTAGAAGGTGAAAGAAGAGTTTTATAATTGATGATGTAAATGATGATTTGCTCAGGATATCTGGTAATCTGTACTGAGACACTGATGATACACTGAACATGAAGAGTTCAGCTACATGAAAAGATCAAACAGATTAATAACTCCTGATTCTGATGTGTTTTATCTCCATCAGATTCCCATCGGCTCACTCTGGATCTGAACACAGTATATAAACGGCTCTGTCTGTCTGAGAGCAACAGAGCGATTACTGGCACTGGCACAGAGCAGCCGTATCCTGATCATCCAGACAGATTTGATGTGTGTCAGCAGGTGTTGTGTAGAGAGAGTGTGTGTGGACGCTGTTACTGGGAGAATAAACTTGCTCTTGTGAATTTATTTGGATGTTAATTACATTGTGCAAGCTGTCTCGTTAATACCGCGTGGTTTACATACATGCTGCTGCTGATTGGGCTGACATGTTTGACACACCCACCAAACAAGAGAAAACGCATCTGAAACCCCGTTGCACACCGTTTCCAGGAAACATGTCGTTCAAACCGGAAACCGTAGCAAAACGATGCACACCAGTTTGAGCTTGAACATGCCCCTGGAGAAGGCGTTAAAGATGCACGGGATGCTGTTGTGGAATATCTGAAGGCTACAGGGGTATATTATAGGCTTTAGATAGTAGTGCTATAATATTTATTAATTAATTATTTGTTATTATTATTATTAAAACAATTTTTGAAGTGCATTCATTGAGATATAATCCATGCTGCATACTCCGATACAGTAGGTGGCGGTATGCACCTGATAAGTCATGGTTGCAGAAGAAGAAGTAAGTGCAGCATGCTGTGTGTGTACAAGCTGTACAAATGTATGTTTAAAAGGTTTCTCTCTACCTCTTAGCTCCTGGCTGATGAAGGGCACAAGGTAACGCACAGTTTCATTTTCATGTTGTGTAATAATCTTTGAGAGATCTCCTCTGAAGCTGCTAGCTAAACGTTTAGCATGTGCATATATAGCAGGTTTTGAATTCCAGTGATGCACATTTAATTAGCTAATGTTGTTATTCAGAGTGTGTGAGATTCATTGTCTCTGTCAGAAGCAGAACACTGTGTTTTATCGCCTCATCTCTGGGTTTGCACTCCAGATAGATTGTTTACAGCAAATCAGGTCTTTATTTGGTCATTCTATATGTTTAGTTTTTCTCTCTAAATTGAGATTTCATTAATTAATTAAGTTTGTCAGTTGTTAAAAACTAATTTTTGGTAGGTGCTTTATCTGCATTAAATGTTGTTACTGTCAGTGTTAAAATAATTCATGTTATTCAGGCTTACTACAGTAAGGCAAGGTTATTAAATTAGCCTGTATACTAAAAATGTGATTTATTGTCACACTGTTTATTGTGTGGGCCAATTAGATTGCACATGTGTATTAATTAATTTATAGGTTTGTTATGGACATTTATATACAATTTGCAGGCAAACGTCTAATGACTTTGTTTGTATTCAGCTCTTAAAGTGTTTTTTGAAATGAGATTGTCGTTTGCGCATTAGCTCCGCCCACTACCGGAAAACTCAAAGTGAGAGAAAGCGTCAGCGAGTTGTGCGCCTTCACACTAGAGTTAACGTTACGCCAAATACACAAACACAGGTGCGCTGCGCATCCATTCAGATGAAATAATAAATAGCGTCAACACAGTACTCACTTTCCTGTTTACATAGTAATCGTGTGATACCATGCTGGAAGCTTGCGGTGAAGGCGTCTGAAGAACAAATCATGCTATTTCAGACTGCATCCTCAGGATGTTGGCCCACAATTGAATTAAAAAAGGGAAACTGATGTCACAGTTTCCCTGGAGCTTTTTTAAGGACCTATCTAGCTTATGGAAACAACTTAGAATTAGGCTTGCCGCGATAGACGGTGCTGACGGTGATACCGGTGTTAAGCCGCAACACCGGTTACGTCACTTGCCCACCGTGTCACCGACCCCCACCATCGTTTTGATTTTTTTATAGTAATAAAAATAATTTAGTTCAGTAAAAGAACAGACACTACAATTAAAAACTGAACGCGGCTGCTCAATGCAGCGTGACGAACGACAGTCGCATGACAGATCAGATTTCATTTCTCCAGTGAGGAGTGAGTGATGCGAGCTGACTAACATATCTAAGCTGATTTTGGAAGTTTTTTTAAACATTCGTTTCTTATATAATTGGTTCCACATTATTTGCTGATTTTTACTTTATTTAAACTTTGTGTCATTTATTTATTTTATTTGGCATCAAGGTGTATGCCGTGCCTCCAAGCTTTCTTATTCTTTTTTGTTTTGTAGGTTTTGTATACCTATTTAAACTTTATGCAAGTTATTTGTTATTTTATATTAGGCATAGCCTGCCCTATATTGTGTATAGGGTGTATTTGTTTTGTTAATAAAAGTTCTATGTTTTATATATACGTTAAAGTGAGTTTGATGTTGTATTTTGTTGTTGCATTCAAGCAATTGACGCCTAACTGCCGCTAATTCAAAAGTGAAAATAAAATGCGCACGGTGTTTTCAAGCTATTTAAAAGCGATGAAAAGAGGGAAAATTAAAACGAACAATTGCTTTACGCCGAATTGCCGCTATTTAAAAGCGAAGGAAAAGAGGGAACGCCCCCGCCCCGCCCCCACGGTGATACCGGTATTACCGGTGTTGTCACACGCCGATTAACCTTTGGGAAAATTTCCTCACCGTCACAACCCTAGTAGCTACTGAGTTTACCACTGATAGGCCGGCGGTGCATCTGTATACACGCTCTCCTCACGCAGCGGACCACTGACTCTCCTCAGCCGGCGACTAAGCCTGACTCCGGCTGAGGAGAGTCAGTGGTCCGCTGTGTGAGGAAAGTTAGTCGCCGGCTGAGGAGAGTCAGTGGTATATACAGTGGTATATATTGGTGTATACATATGCGGCCTATCGGGGGTAAACTCAGTTGCTACTGGCAATTGTATAGTGAATTCCCACGACAAGTCATTAGCCCTATTTTTGGACCTTCCGGCCCGCTATAACTAATGTGAATGTGCTCAACAAAACTCCTTTGGTGTGGTCTTTGTTGAGAGAATAGAATGCATGAACCAAGGGAGGTTACGTATACACATGCTGCCAAGGCACATTTCAGTTCAAACAACATGTAAATGTGAATTTTGCATCCGATGACCCCTTTAAGGCCATTTTCTTGCTTCTCTGTAACTTTTATTCTTTGAGTGTATGTCTGAGACTGACATCTAGTAGACATGTCATGATTTACAGACTCACAGACATGCCAGTTTTACACATGTGATTTAAACACAGAACCAGGAAACAGAACGTGAAGTAGAGCTGTCGTGTGTTTGTGACGACTGCAGGAGATGAGCTGCGATGGATGACCACAAAAACCACGGCACTGTATCAGCTGCAGCACAGAGGACAGAGAAACCGGTATTTAAAATTAGTGATCAAGTTAATACTCAGTGTAGTGATCCAATAGTCTGTTTTCTGTATAGAGTAGCAGCTTAATTACACAAAACATGGAAACACTGTCAGTGTGAAACTCTACGTCTGTGTCAGTTTCACTATTATATTTATGCTTGTAGTGTGAAACAGGCCTATTTAGGTTAATTCATGTACAATGGTGGTAAACAATTAATTATTCTTGGAGTTTGAATCTACAGCCATTCGTTATCAGTCCCGAAATATTCTTTTAATAAAGCTTAAGGGCCAGTTTTACTTAGCAGGGCAAATTAGCGCAAGAGCACAATTCCAAAAGAGCACTGATGGGCGTGGAAATTTCTGCGGGTGATTTACTAAAAACGCGCAAATTAAAGAACACAGATGCAACATCTCATTTACATATCGATCAATGCAATATACCAAGCGCAGCGCAAATTAGAGCAGTCGCAAATAAAGAATAAAGAAATAGTACGTTGAAAAGAACCGGATGTCAAAAAAATGCTAGAAGTTGCAAGAAGTTTTAATAGACCTGGTATTGCGTGACTCCTAGTTGAGGGTTCCAAGTCGTCTTTTATTTCCTGAAGCAAATTCAAAATAACATGGCTTGGCAAATGATATGTTCGGATACTGTGTTGTAGTGTGGAGAGTGATCACACGGACAACAGAAGTGCAATAAATTCCCCGGTGGGAGGTTTATTGCACAAAAAGAGCAGGTACTGTGAAACGGTGTGCTGGCGTGCTCCGGTGCAGTAGATCCTAGTCGTGCAGCAAAGTGTCTGTGTGAGCGGGGTGGCGTGCTGATCATCAGAAGCTTGAATCTGCAAGAGAGCAAGAACACAGCGTTAGTCTTGCTCTGGAGTTGAAGCTCATCTCCTTCTTCTGCTTAAAAGCTGTGTTGCTGATGGGATTCAGGCGTCGGTGATCAACACCCAGGCGACGCTGATATCTCATTGGCCGGCTCGCCACAGTGTTATAATGTGCAAAATAGCTTAAGACATGCTTTTTTGGGGTGCTAAATAATGGCGCAAATGACAGTAATTTGACGAGCGCAAACGTTAGTAAAACACGTTGCGTGATGCATTTGAATACTCTCCCCTCCAATAACTTTTGCGTCTGAAATGGAAACTCTTAAAAATGCATATTCAATATGGTCAGGTGCAAAAATAACTCTGTCCATGCCTTTTCAGCACTAAATCTTCACTGCGTGTCTTTAGTAAAACCTGCAGTTTTAATGCAAAAAGATGGTTTGTGCTGGCGCAAGCTGTTAGTAAAACTGGCCCTTAATCTGCACCTCAAATACATCCCTTGCAGGGCTATTTTGTATGGAGAAGCACATGGAAACTGTTTTCTTAACATTAAAAGTTGAATGAGACAACTCGAGCCATTTAGAAATATTCTGTAATCCCTGTGTCAGTTGCTCACCTGGAAAGCTAGGTGTTTTAGTGGACACATGGACTCCATTTTGAGTTTAACTCCTGACACTTCTGGTGTAAGCCAAATAACTCTTCGATCTGTCTCATTAATATTGTACAGTTCCAAACATGAAAGATCAGCATTCTCTCTCGATGTGCCCTTTTTTATGACATCTCCTGCACTCTTTGTCCTTGAACCAGCAGTCATTCGCATCATGAGACATTTTTTCCACAGTGATAGCATTTCTGTTTTCTTTCTGATTTCAGTGACGGTTTATGTGTCGCACATTCCATTGATTTTTGTTGCAATTCCAATGCATCTTTTGCTGCAGTCTCGTTGGATATTGCTATGTTCAGTGCACGATCAAGTGTCAAGTCTTTTTGTGTGCTTTCATTGTGCATTCCACACACAAGGCTGTCTCTTAATGCATCTGCCAGTCCAGCGCCGAATTGACAATGTTCTGACAATCGGTGTAGCTCAGCTATGTATTCGGAAATGCTTTCTCCTTTAGTTTGTTTATGCTTATGGTATCTGAATCTTTCCGCAATAACTAGGGGTTTGGGGTTCAAATGTTCATGTAAAATGTCCACTATTTGCTGGAATGTTTTATCCACTGGCTTTTTAGGGGTTAACAAACTATGGAGCAGTCCATACGTCTTTGCTCCCATCATGCTCATCAAAACAGCCACTTTCTTACCATATGCAACGGCATTAGCCTCACAGTAGAACTCCACTCATTCCACATAAGTTCCCCAATCCTCAGCATTACTATCAAACGCGACGATCATTGACATTTTTGCTCGTTTGCAGTGTAGCTTTACACATTCATTGGTATTTCTCATTTTCATGTGACTCGTGCTCTCTCTTTTCACGATCTTTCTTTTCCTGCTTCTTGTCTGTTCAGGTCTTGTTGTCGCATCCGTGGTTGTTGATCCAGACCTTGTCGCCAATTTTGTTGCGTATACTGGCAGATAACACGACACAATTGTCTGCTGTGTAACTCACGTTATTTTTACTGTTAACTCTGATTGATTACCAATACATCACTATATGGGTCACTACTAGAGGGCAGGCTTATCACAAAACTATGATATCCAATACATTACAGAGACCCAAAACATGAGGCTGTGTATCAGCAATCAGTCCTACGAGGATTTCAGACAAAAATGCAAGCTGCTGCAAATAATGCAGCGTTTGTTTGCTTTTGTATTAAATTCTGCATTTAACAGAACCAAACAGAATCTGACTGTGTCTTAAGGGTCCTTGTGAAGTTTCAGTGTCACTTTTGCACTAAAGTTATAAATAATGGTCAAACTAATCGTAGCCTTTGAGCTGCTTTTACTACTCAACCCTGAAATGCTTTTAGATGGATATTTATGTTTTTTGCAGATGTTTTATCTAAACTATGTCCTAGAAAGTTCACATAGTGTAAGTTGCAAACATAAGAATCTGTAGCTTTAATGTGATATAGTAATTATATGAGAAGAATGAAGCTGTTGTGAAAGTGCTGGATTGAGATGATGTTTTAGAGATATGTCAACAAAAGCCGCACAAATCTGATGTTCGTGCAGGTTATTGTGTGGAGCTGATGAGTTTGGATTTCTGTTTTCTGTAGAGTTTCCAGTCTCTCTCAGCTCCTCCTGAATCTATAGACGTAAATGATGATCTCTTCAGTTCTCTCTTCTCTTTTGATGACCTGAGAGAATCTGTCCATCAGCTGAGAGACAAACTGGAGGATTTCTGCAAAGAGGAGCTCAAGAAGATCTCAGACAGAGGTAAAGTCCTGGAGATTCATCTGCTCTCAGAAACCAGTCCATCATCATCTCATATCATGCAGAACATCATATTAGAAATGTCTTAGGAATGGATGCAGGATCATGAGAATCACACTGTTCATGTCTGTTGATTTCCACAGTCACACTCACCAACATTGTTCTCTGGACCAGGAACAACTTCCTACAATGTAAGTCAGTAAGAAAACAAGCAGAAAAACTCACTGAGTGTGTTCATGTTCTTCCTGTAGAAGCTGAAAGAAGAGTTTTATAATTGATGATGTAAATGATGATTTGTACAGGATAGATGAAAAGATCAAACAGATTCATAATTCCTGATTCTGATGTGTTTTATCTCCATCAGATTCCCATCGGCTCACTCTGGATCTGAACACAGTGAATAAACGCATCCGTCTGTCTGAGAGCAACACAGTGATTACCTACAGTGACACAGTCCAGTCGTATCCTGATCATCCAGACAGATTTGAGTGTTTTCCTCAGGTGTTGTGTAGAGAGCGTGTGTGTGGACGGTGTTACTGGGAGCTGGAGTGGAGTGGAGATGTGCGTATATCAGTGTCATATAAGAGCATCAGCAGGAAGGGATCGAGTATTAAGTGTCAGCTTGGATTGAATAATCAGTCCTGGAGTTTGTTCTGCTCTCCCTACAGTTACTTTTTCGGACACCATAACATGCAGACTACTCTCCCTGTAAAGTCCATCAGCAGTAGAATAGGAGTGTTTGTGGATGACAGTGCAGGAACTCTGTCCTTCTACAGCGTCTCTGACACAATGAGCCTCATCCACACAGTTGAGACCGCATCCACTCAGCCGTTCTATCCTGGGTTTTGGGTTGGTTTTGGATCATCAGTGAAACTGTGTTGATGAATCAGAATAGATTGACGAGAGCTGCATGATAAATCCATAACATGTTATAGAGTCTCTTCTATTCTCTTCTTTACATTAATACTGCATTCTGTCACTGAAATAACATGTCCAAATAAATGTATTGAATTCTCATATAGACGATAAGATCAGTGTGTGTGAGTCCTGCTGAATGACAATGTTTTTCTGTGCTTTTCTCAACTTCTGTTTTTGTTGTTGAAATCAGTCATTTAGAACGTAATTTAGTGTCACATCAATCATTTTCATTAATACTATCAAAATTACCTTTAAATTCATATGATCACACAGTCAATAAATAATTTTCATTATTCACCTTATGTAGCCACGAGCCACTGTTTTTATTGTCATGCATTTAATTGTTAAGCACGAATTTATTTGTTGACTGTGGAATTCGTTTTTATTTTTGTGAGTGTATGTGTGTGCGTTCAGTAGTTCAGTTGTTGCCTTATTTCAGGCACACATCCGGGCATGCATCAGATCGCTGCTCTTCTCACACTGCACTAAACTGTCTGGGGTTCCATCTACGTGCTGTTGCATGCACACTACACAAAAGATCGGCGACAGGGTCACATATTACACAACCTCTTAATAGGACTAATCGCCAACAACTCTTGTCTGGTCTGAAAAATGACATTTTCCAACCAAACACATGCGAGAAGTGATGCAGGAAAGATCATGCATTAGACAGGAGTTCTTATGCGAGACAGATTTCTAACTGTTAAAAACTGTAGCCCACAAGAAGCCTGCAATACAAGTTGTCTGTAAGCTGGTTTACAGCAAAAAAAAGAACCGTAAGAAGATGGTTGCTTGCTGAAGCCATGTGTGCTGATGTTTTGTTGCAAATGGAAGAAGCAGAACAGTTAAAAATGCAATGAAAAACTGGTTTAATCCGAGACATGAAAAACAGGATAAACATGACAGGGAAAGTGGGAGCCAGAGATGTACCACCGCTGGAATCAGGACCTTGTGAAAAGGGATGGCCCAATAAACCACAGAGTCACTTTGTGAGCTGGCACCTTTAGAGGCAGGTCTCTTGTGAAGAGCCATGTCCTCTGCCCACAAACATACCTGGGGGCCGGAGTCCAGCGGCAGTAAGCAGAGACATTAACACGTATTTCCATCCGAAGAAGGGCTTCCGTAGCCCTCTGCCACGTGCAACAACACCACTGGATGAAGGGAACCGTCGCCTCAGGCTCCTGTGAAGGAAAAAAGAAGAGACCGATATTCCAGGCAACACTGAAATGGGGAGAGTCCAGTAGATGAAGTAGGCAAGGAATTTCAGCCCATGTTAGCTGCTGGCTCCAGGAAAGAACAGAATTTTCAGCCCACTCAATGTGGGAGTTGTGCTTCACCAGCCAAGGGTGCCCTAGCACAAAGGATTGGCTGTGGGACTCCAGCAGATACAACACAAACTCCTCATGGTGGTTGCCAGAAATGGTAAGACTTATGGGGATAGTCGAATGGGAAATGAGGGTGAGATGGGAGCCATCGAGTGAATGAGCTGTCAAGGGAACCTGGAGAGGAATGGTAGGCAGCTCCCAACTTCCAATGAAGTTGCCCTCAGCCCCAGTGTCCACCAAAACCAGGCATGAGTGAGAAGAGTGATCTCACTGAACTGTGGACGGGAGAAGAGTGCATGCTACAGGGGATTTGTTGACGGGATAGTCTTGGGACAGTTTTATTACAGATTTGCTTGTAGAGTTCAGTGTTTGTATTCCCTGTGCAGAGGGAACAGTTTTATTGTTATTATTGCGATGTTTTTACATTTGAATTGCCACAATAACTGCATGGCGTGTACAATTAAACAGTGCAAAATGAAAGTAATACAAAGCAGCATAACATAAATGAAGAACAAAAGTTTCTGTCTCTTTCTTGCGGTTGCACTGAGTCTCTTTCTTTGTCTCTCTGTGCCACGCAACATCTCTCATGAATCAACAATGAAGCAACACTACATATTGTTCATAATACTGAATATGCCACCTGCGCATCTTCCACGATGATTGTTACGACAAATGATACTCCTAATGAACCAAACTAAACAACTAACACACCCAGTCTAGGGGTTTTATTTTCTAATCATCCGTCATAACACTAAACCACTTTCTCTATGTGATGCCAACAACATGCGAGTCAGTCCTATCCAAAATGTGTGGATGGAATTGTGTGTGTGTGTGTGTGTGTGTGTGTGTGTGCATTCCTCATGGGTGTCCGAGTTCTTGATCCAGCACAAGCATGGATATAGTAAAATTTTCTTAAAACACAGTGGTGGCGATAATCCCAGAACACAAAAAAGAATCCTATCCCAAACAGGAGGGGAGAACGATAGAGGAGTAATGAAAGCATTAATCCATGACCTGAACCAGGGCCGTCCTTAGGGGGGTGCAACTGGCGCTTGAGGGGGCCCCTCGTCGAACGGACCGAGGGGGGCCCCGCTCCCTACCTCACACCGGGCCCCGCATCAGCTAAGGACAGCCCTGATGTGAAAACACGAGGCACTTCTCTTCCAGTTTCAGAAACCGCCGATCACATGCCCCACCTACTTATTCACAGGTGAGTGACGTCATCTGGGCTCTGTTAAATCGTGTCAGTCAGAACTATCCCTATTTAAATACCTAACAACTGTAAAAACCAACTCGAACACATGATTTAGCGTTTGTCCCCTAAAAGAAGCCGAATGCCTTGCACAAAAAAAACAGGTTGATCTCAAAGACAACAGCTGTTTATCTCCAGTTATTTCAACTGTTTATCGGCAAGGACGCTTTACCTCAACAGTTCATGTTTAGATAATAAAATATTGTTGATAATCACACAAAAGGTGTTTATTTAGCATAGTAAAGCCTCTCCCCCATTGACATCCATTAAAAAAAAGGCCTCTTGTCTCCTTCCCTGTGTACCGCCAAAGCTGCAGCATCAGCATTAGTCATTACGCTTTTTTGGCTAAAGGTAGCAGGCTTGGATTCCAGTTGCTTTGAAGCTGCTTTACAGACTCACAGACACACCTGTTTTACACACGTGACTCAAACACAGAACCAGGAAACATGAATCACATGAGTTCAGGGAAAGAGAAACTGAAAGTGCAGCTGAGCTGTTGTGTGTTTGTGTCTCTGTATTCACGCAGTAAAATGGCAGAAGCCAGATTTTCTCAGGATGAGTTGATGTGTCCAGTGTGTCTGGATCTGCTGAAGGATCCAGTGAGCATCCAGTGTGGACACAGTTACTGTAAGAGCTGTATTACAGGCTGCTGGGATCAGGAGGATCAGATGAGAGTCTACAGCTGTCCTCAGTGTAGACAGACCTTCAGTCCAAGACCTGCTTTAGCAAGAAACACCATGCTGACTGATCTGGTGGAGAAACTGAAGAAGACCAAACTACCTGCAGACTGTGACGCTGGAGCTGGAGATGTGCAGTGTGACGTCTGTACTGGAAGAAAATACAAAGCCGTCAAGTCTTGTCTGATGTGTCAGGAATCTTACTGTCAAACTCATTTTGACCGTCATGAGGAATTTCATTCACGTAAGCCACACAAAGTGACTGAAGCCACTGGACGACTGCAGGAGATGATCTGCCAGAAACATGAGAAGCTCCTTGAGGTTTTCTGTCGCACTGACCAGAAATGTATATGTGTGCTGTGTACGATAGATGAACATAAAAACCACGACACTGTATCAGCTGCAGCACAGAGGACAGAGAAACAGGTATTTATATCTTGACACTGGTAAAATATTGCTAAACACTTTTCATATGTGCCCGTTTCATAGGTGTTTATATTCGGTTCTGGGGTAACGCATTACAAGTAATGTGAATTATGTAATCCGATTACTTTTCTCAAGTAACTAGTAAAGTAATGCAAGTTACGTAATCAGATTACTTTTTAAAGTAACTGTAAAGTAATGCATTACAAGTAATGCGAGTTACATAATTAGATTACTTGTTTCAAGTAACTAGTAAAGTAACGCAAGTTACATAATCAGATTACTTTTTAAAGTAACTGTAAAGTAATGCATTACAAGTAATGCGAGTTACATAATTAGATTACTTGTTTCAAGTAACTAGTAAAGTAACACATTACTTTTAAATTTACAACAAAATATCTGAGTTACTTTTTCAAATAAGTAACGCAAGTTCCTTTGTTTTTCCATTTATTGACTGATAGCTCTCTTTGGGTTTTGTTATTAAAAAATGACAAAAAGCACAGCTGACAAAAAGTAAGTAATGCACTGCTTTCCATAAACGTAACTAATGCGATTAGTTACTTATTTATGGAGTAACACAATATTGTAATGCATTATTTTGCATAAAAAGGAACTAATGCAATTAGTTACTTATTTATGGAGTAACACAATATTGTAATGCATTATTTTGCATAAAAAGGAACTAATGCAATTAGTTACTTTTTTATGGAGTAATGCAATATTGTAACACATTACTTTTAAAAGTAACCTTCCCCAAAACTGTTTATATTGCAAGCCATATTAACAGGTTATAGCATTCAGCAGAAAAGAACAACAGTTGCAAGAAGAGTTTCACTGTTTGGTGAAAATGCACTGTAAACATTTATCAACACAATCTCTCGTAAAAATAGGCTTCGATTAAGCAATATAAAATAATGGAGAGAACTATTCACTCGTACTTTGACAAAATATATACTTCCATAAGTCAAAACACACGTTAAATGCAGTGACGGATGACTTTTTATTCAGTAAATCCGACTGAATCGAGATGATTTCGGTCATTTATTCACTTTGTTCGTTTATTTTGTGTAGAGCCGCAGCTTAATTACGCAGCAGAAACACTGTCAGTGTGCAGCCCTATGTCAGTTACACTTTTTTAATACTTACACTTGTTGTGTGAAACAGACTTTAATCTTCATGTGAGTTCATGTACTACTCACATCATCACTTCTGGAGTTTGAACCTACAGCAGCAGTGGAGGACAGTGAGAGGATCTTTACTGAGCTCATCCGCTCAATTGAGAGCAGCCGCTCTGAGCTGATACGGCTGATCAGAGATCAGGAGAAGACTGCAGTGAGTCGAGCTGAAGGACGACTGGAGCGACTGGAGCAGGAGATCAATGATCTGAGGAGGAGAGATGCTGAGCTGGAGCAGTTTTCACACACACAGGATCACATCCAGTGCCTGCAGGTAACAGAGATCTAGAAGAACAGGATCATAGTTGACTTGAGACAGATCCTGCTGTGACAGAGACTCACAGAGAAACATTTCATGAGTGTCTTATTATATAATCATTAGTCAGACTCTCATCTGATCATCTTCTTCTGAAAGAGATGCCACTTACAAATAGCTTTCAGCTCTGGAAATTTCTTTGGAATCATTTCTCTGAACTCTTTCTTCTGGAAGATATATTTAGCTGTCAAACACCACTAGCGCCACCAACAGTTCAAAACTTCACTGACATTTCAACTTTATACCTCATTTTTCCTTCTAATGTTTTTACATCATGGTGAAATCAGTGAACTCAGTAATACCGATTCTGAGTAACATTCATCAAAATTGGATCCTGTGATCTTAAACTTGATAAAATGGATTTTCATTTGCCTGTGACATATTGATGAATTTCACCATGAAACCCCAAACATGAAGTGAGGCTGTATATTATCAAAGTGCATATCCAGTTAAATAATGTACTTTATTTAGATCTAATCTAGGCTACTGGCGAAATCAGGTATTATGGGGAATAGCAAATATTCACACCAATATTCATTATATTCAGTATCCATATACTAGTTTAATAGTAGCCTTCATTAAAGCTCTAGTCTAGAACATTAATTTCGTCCCGCGCGCTGAACACAGAAATATAAACAAGACATATGACTGTTTGCGCAGCTGTGGCGCTCGCTCAAGACAATAGACGTGTAGGTCGTGAATGAATGATTAGGAAAGATTACTTGGAAATATTAAATATTATTACCCTGTCTGTCACTCAAATGGCTCTCATGTCAGAACTTTTCTTTCCCTTTAAATCACTCGTATAAGCGGTCGGCTCACTCTGGATCTGAACACAGTGAATAAATGGCTTGTTCTGTCTGAGAGCAACACAGTGATTACTTACACTAAAACAGTCCAGCCGTATCCTGATCATCCAGACAGATTTGATCGTTGGTGTCAGGTGTTGTGTAGAGAGAGTGTGTGTGGACGCTGTTACTGGGAGCTGGAGTGGAGTGGGAGAAAAGTGTTTATAACAGTGTCATATAAGAGCATCAGCAGGAAGGGATTGGGTGATGAGTGTGTGTTTGGATATAATAATCAGTCCTGGAGTTTGTTCTGCTCCTCCTCCAGTTACTCATTCAGTCACAATAACATATGGACTACTCTCCCTGTAATAGAGTTTCCAGTCTCTCTCAGCTCCTCCTGAATCTACAGACGTAAATTATGATCTCTTCAGTTCTCTTGTCGCTTCTGATGTCCTGAGAGAATTTGTCCGTCAGCTGAGAGACAAACTGGAGGATTTCTGCAAAGAGGAGCTCAAGTACAGCGTCTCTGACACAATGAGCCTCATCCACACAGTCCAGACCACATTCACTCAGCCGCTCTATCCTGGGTTTACTGTTAATAGAGGATCATCAGTGAAACTGTGTTGATGAATCAAAATAGATTGATGAGAGATTCTACCCATAATACTTCGAGTTGCTTGATAAATCTGTAACAGTGAGATGTTATAGAGTCTCTTCTCTTCATTACATTAATTCTGCAGCTGAAATTCTGTCACTGAAATAACGTGTCTGAATAAATGTGTGTGATAAATCCTCATAGACAGTAAGAGACAGTAAGATCAGTGTGTGAGTGTGTGTGTGTAAGAGAGAGAGAGAGAGAGTGTGTGTTTGTGTGTGTGTGTGTGTGAGAGAGAGAGAGTCATGCTGAGTGACAATGTATATCTGTGCTTTTCTCAGCCTTTATTTTTTCATTGAGTTTAGTATAGTATCACATCAATCATTTTATTATTACTATCAGTATTACATTCAAATGATCACACAGTCAATAAATCATTTTCGTTGCCCCTTTCATTGTTCTGTGTTCTTCTGTCTTTTGGTGTCACAGGCCGCTGTTTTTATTGTCATAATATTATTTTTTTATTATTTGTATTATTTTATTAATATTATTACTATTTTATTAATTAATAATAATAATAATAGTTTTTTTAAAAAAACATAATTTACTAAAATTATTATATTTTGCAGTGAAATATTGCAATAGTAATATATCTTGGTTTGTTTAATAATTTTACTAGTAATAACAATTATTATGTACTAGTTATTATAGTTGATAAATATTTTTTTTTTGCCGAATTGCGCAGCACTACAGACAACCTTTTTAATTGCCATCACAATTTTTATCAGAAAAGTTCAAGTTGTTTCTTGAAGATTGTGAGGGATTCTGCTCTCTGGATGGAGTTAGGTCGGTCATTCCACCAACAGGGTACAGTGGGAAACCATCCTGGAGAGTGATTTTGTGCCTCTGCGATGGAACCACAATCCGCCGCTCATTTACCTACCTCAGGCTTCTAGAGGCGATGTAGATGCATAAGTGCAGGGGAAATAGCTTGTAGGAGATGTGAGGAGATTTGGGTCTAGAGGACAAGTGGTAGGGTAACTGGAGAGGATTCATACAATTCATATTGTTGAAATGTTAAGGCTTTGTGAGTTCCCAGCATGCACTGCAGCATGAATAAATGATGCAGTTACTGTTATAGGATTATTGTTTTGCTGTTTGCTGACTTCATTTAAACTTTTTGTTGTTGTTTTGTCATTACGGTTAGTTATTTGTTGTAATGTGATGTAAAGAGCTCATCTTTTTGAAAATTGTTGATTGCCACCGTTCTTGAGGTTTGAGTGTCTTGAGGCCTAGAGTATGTTCAACCGCTTATATCTGCGTCCTGGATATTTTAGGCTTGTAAGTTGTTTTATAAACAAAGACAATGTTGTCTACATGTTAAATTAAGTTATCCATTAAGGTTTCTATAACAATTCATTCAGTCACAGTCATTCGTAAATAAACTGATGATGTATTGATGATGAAGAACTAAACACATAGTGAGAGAACTCAAAAGTCCTTCTGCATCAAGCTGCCTTTTTTTTTTTACATTTTCTCAACTATTTATTTTTTACTAGTGATGGGAAGTTCGGATCATTTTACCAACTCGGACCTTTGAGTCTCGTTCAGCAAAATGAACGAATCTTTTTTTGAGTCATTTCGTTCATTTCGTTCATTTTAGCAAAATACTTACAAAATACTGTTACTTCCCTAACACATCTACTACTTACGCAAACGTTGATCACACTACAAACAATACAAAACTGCAATAAGAAACAGAAAAGATTAATTCATTGTTTACCTGGGTCTTCAGTCTATGATTAGCTCACCTCAGCTCTTATCTGACAAGTCTTCGGGTTTGAGTCGTTCCTTCATCACGTGACAGCCCCATACGCTTTAACCAATGCAGTCTGAGCCGGAAAGAGAATTGATTAGTTCATCTCTCGAGTCTTTCGAATCATTCGTTCTTTTGTCACGTGACGTGACAGCATTGGATAGAGAAATAAGTTAATTTACAAGCTTCCTTACGAACGGGTGCATAGTTATTATTATTATTATTATCATCATCATTATTATAATTATTATTTACTCTTACAGTTACGTGATGCGTTTCTGCTCTCAAATTGTAGCTTTTTACTTCTTACAGTTTATAAATGTGTGAA